CCGTCATTTACGCCGGGAGGTTGGTTGCGCGCGTCTGCGCCTCGTGGCTCTCGTGGGGAGGAGAGCCGGGGCGACGGGGGCTTGCTCCAGCCCTCGAGGCACGGCCGCCCTCCGTGCTTTGCTCTGGGGTTGCTTGCAGAGCGCGCTGTGGATCGCGCTTCCGTGCACTGAGATGGGCGCTTCTGCGTCGCCGTTTTGTCTGAAACGGACCCAGGAGGTCACCCCCGCGGGCTTCGTGCTCGAGCGGCCTGCCCGTGTCTCCCGGCTGCCCGCTTCTTATTTGGTTTCCCCAGGCCGCGTTCACATGGGTTCGCGACCCCTTGCCCCTGAAATGAACCAGGCGTGGGTGTTGACGGTCGCCCGACTTTTGCTCTTCATTTCAGACTCTGTTCGGTAAAACGCGAGGGCCCTTTCGATGCAGTTGTTTGGAGGACAGCTGTTTGTATGACGTTTCTATTTGCCACTATCTGGAGACCGTTCGGCCGGCGTTTTGACTGCTCTAAAATCAACTTTTTCTCCAAGTTTCGGTTTTGTGGGCAGAGTTTACGGTAAGCCTTGGAAAATAATTTGCTACATTTCTGCCTGGTTCCAAAGTCTGTCTTAAAGCGTCAAGAGTAAATGGTGAGCCTTGGGCATGTTCGACTAAGTTTTGGGTTCCACAGCTTGTGTTTTCAAATATGTCTAATTTACAGTTAATGTCTACAGTAAATAATCTTTCATATACCCAGGAGTGTAATGAAGGTAATTAAATATTCGTAAACCCATATATGAAATTTAAGGTCACCGTTTTAAGGAAATAGCAAGGTAAATTGCAAAGATGGCTACTCAGTTCACATATGGTAGAGGAAAATACAACATTATGTCGTCTTCACTTTAGATGATGGAAAAGGGGAGAGTAATGCCATTAAGATGGAAGTTAGGGAAATTTTCCTTTCAAGAAATTTTCTTTAGGAATGTGTTACATCCCTGCATGGTTTAGAACAAATGTGATCCTTTCTAGAACGAGGGAGACAATCTTGTTGGATTACAGCTTGAATCTTTTCAGTGGGCTGTTTCCCCATGGCACTCACAGCAAAAGTCTACTGAAGCACTTTGTTAATTGGGAGACATGGTCAACTCCTCGAGAAGAGCTGCCTTACTTATTTTTGCATTCCTGGTTTCAAGTAGTATTCTTCATGGTTTATGTTTGTTAATGATTGTTGCGTGAATACTCTGCAGTATCTGAATTTTCTTTGGGCTTGACCTCTCCTAAATTGGGATAGCTGTTTAAGAGTTTGGCATGTATTTGCATAATTTATGTCTGTGTCCGAATGAATAACTTAGGCATTACAAGGCTAGACTTGGGCAGGCCAGTTGGGAGTAATTCAGATTTAAAAGTGATGGGTGGCAGTGCAGTAATTCAGATTAAAAAGTGATGGGTGGCGGTGGGTGGGAGTATGTAAGTGGTTCTCAGCTCTGGAGACATGTTTGAAGGTAGAAGCATTAGAGTTTGGTAACCGAGAAAGCAGTAGATATCTGAATGGTTGTAAGTGTCTGTCTCGTATCATCAGTGACTAGGGATGGACTTGATTCTAGACCAGCGGTCCCCAACCTTTTTGGCATCGGGTACTGGTTTCATGGAAGACAATTTTTCCAGGGATGGGGGTGGGGGGAGTGCAGTCAAACCTCACAGATAATGCTAATCTCTACTACTCATAATGAGTGCACCACCCAGATCTCTAGATCCTGCACATGTGCAGTTCAAAATAGGGTTCTGCTCCTATGTGAATCCAATACTGGGGCTGATCAGGCAGAAGGTGAAGGTAGAGCTCTCCACTTATTGCCACTCACCTTCTGCTGTGTGGCCCGATTCCTAACAGACTGCAGACTGGTTGGGGACCCCTGGTGTAGACTAAAGAGAAGTGTAGACTAAGGAGGAATGAGTGGCAGAAAGGTGACAAGTTTGGTTTTGTGTTTGCTGACTTTGTGCTGCCTGAGAGGTGTTCAGGGGTATGGTAGACGTGGAAGAGTCATCTGGAAATACAGTGTCCCTCAGTAACTGTTGGATTGGCCCCAGGGCATTCCCTCCTCCCAGAAGGTCCCAGAAGGATACCAGAATCCCTCTGCATGCTCACGTTCCTTCTATAAAATGGGGTGGCACTTACGTATAACTGATGCATAGCCTCCTACATTCTTTTCTCCCCTCCCACTACAGGCCCCACTTAAGAAGGATACTTAATTTTTTTGAGACCAGGGTCTCATTTTGTTGCCCAGGCTGCATTGTTACGACTGTTCACAGGCATGATTATAGCACACTGCAGCCTCAAAGCAATCCTCCTGCCTCAGCCTCCCAAGTAGCTGAGATTACAGGCACACAGCACCACACGATGGTCTTCCAACTATTTTAAATCATCTCTAGATTACCTGTAATACCTAATACAATGTAAATACTTTGTAAATAGTTGCTAGTCTGTATTTTTTGTATTCCAAAAGTTATTGTATTGTTATTTTTAAAAGTTTTTTTCTGAATGTTTTTGATCTGCAGTTCGTTGTATCCATGGATGCAGAACCCAGTGGTACAGAGGGCCAACAGTAGAGATCTGGGCTGAAGGTGATCTGAAGCTGAGGTAGATGAAGTTCCTGCTCTCCCCTTGTGGAGCTTATGTTTGTTTGTTTGTTTGTTTTTTAAATTGGAGTCTCACTCTGTTGCCTAGGCTGGAGTACAGTGGTATCATCATGACTACTGCATCCTTGATCTTTCTGCCTCAGTCTTCCAAGTAGCTGGGATTACAGGTGTGAAATATGCCCAACTAATTTTTTAAGAAAAATTTATTGTAGAGACAAGGTCTTGCCATGTTGCCCAGGCTGGTCTCCAACTCCCAGGTGCAGGCAATCCTCTCGCCTTGGCCTCCCAATGCATTGGGATTACAAGTGTGAGCCACCACGCCTGGCCTTATGTTCTAATATGGGGAGAAAAACAGGTGAATTACATAGCATGCCAGGTGGTAGCTAGTACTACAGAATAAATAAAGCAGAGCTAGGAGGTTGGGAGTGTTGTGCTCAACTCTGTAGATTGATGAGGCAAGAGGCCTGACAGTAAACATGTACACAAAAACCTGAAAGAAGTGAAGGAGTAAGATGTGCAGAAAGGTGGTACAGCAGGGGCTGGACAGAGGTTTGAGCCAAGCTGAAGGCCCTGGGGTGGGCCTGCTTAGAATGCTTCAGGGAAAGCAGGAGGGTCAGGATGGAGTGAACACAAGAGAAGAGTAGCAAGAGACAAGGTTGGAGGTTATCCAAGCCCTGAATGGCCACAATAAGGACTGCCTTTTACACTGAAGGAGATGGGAAACCAGTGGAAGGAGGGTTTGAGTTTGGGGTGATGATAATGTTTGACAGTTTTACAGGGGTGACTTTAGCATGTGGGGAGTACCCCAGGGGAGGCAGAGTGGAGGCATGGAGATGGAAGGCTGTTACTGTGAGTGTCCAGGAAGGAGGTTGTGGGGCCTGACTAAGGTGGTGGAGGTGTAAGTAGTGAGGAATGGCAAGGTTCTGGGCGTATCTTTGAAGTGTAGCCATTGGGATTTGCTTAGGGACTGCATGTGGGGGGGTGTGTGAGAAGAGTCTGTGATGACTAAGGTTTTTGGCCTAGCAGCTAAGGGTTGGAGTTGTTGTTTTTCTCTTGGGGAAAGACTGAAGGCTTTTGTTGAGAGGGTGGGAACATGGTGGAATCAAGATTCAAGTTGTAGGTGTTTGTTGATATTTAAGTGGAATGTTCTGTAGGCAGTTGAATATATGAGGTCTGAGGAGAGGCTCGGGCTGGAGGAGTCCATTTCATATGATATTTAAGGCTTTGAAACTGAGGGCAGTCACCCAGAGAGTGCAAACTGATGAAACAAATCAGGGACCAAGCTCTGGAGCCTTCCTCTGTGTGGAGGTCCAGGAGAAGGAAAAGAAACACCTAGTGAAGTTGGAGGAGAGCCAGACAGCTTTGTATTGGAAGCCTAGTGAAGGAAGTATTTCCCCAAGGAAGGAATAGTCATGTGAACCATATTCTGTTAGACTGAAGAAGATGAGGACTGAAAATTGGCCATAGCATTATAGGATTTGGCAGCAGGGCGATTAGTGGTGATGTTTGCTGGGACGATGGGACAGAAGCTGCAGTGGGGTGGGTTCAGTAGAGGACAGGAGTAGAACTGGATGGCCAGTTGGGATTTCTTTTGGGGAAAGTGGTACAGGGAGCATAGACAGGTGTGATTGCAGCTGAGGGGGGCAGCAAAAGCAGTGTGAGGCAGAGGAAGGCATTCATGGAAGGTGGGAGAACTAACAGCACACACAGCATAGGAAGGATTGCGGCTGGAAGGCTTGATGATGCTACGGAAGGAGCCAGTTATGCTGAAGCAGTTGCCGGTGCAGTGGTGAGGGGTGGGATCAAGTGCAGAGTGGGGAGGTGGCCTTCAGACAGGGGAATGAGCACTTCATCCATCTACCCATCAGGTAAGTTTTCATAGCTTTTTAGTGGTCTTAAACCTCTTTCTACTTAAAGAGCAATGAAATAAGTCCATGCTGTCGTAAAAGCTATACTTTAACTCACTTATCATTGACCCCATTACAGTCCTTTATTCTTACCAATTGTAGTAGTTATTTGAATAGTCTTCTAGTCCTAAAGTCCTTTCCCTTCCTACACTATAGGTTGATTATGTCAGTCCTCTTAGTGGTTTCAGACTACAGTCCACACTTCCTGTTATACCATCTCAGACTTTTAGGATCTGGCTTCATTCTGTGGTTCTAGTTTCATTTACCATGCTATTGTTTATACCCACTGTCGAAGTACACTGGAATATTTGCTGATGCCACCATGGACTTGGCACTGGAATCAGACCTGGGTTTGAATCTTACGAATTGTGTCACCTTGGGAAAATTTAGCTAATTTAGTCTCTGAGTTTGTTTCTTCATCTGTAAAATGGGAAAATACCTACATCATAAGATTGTTTTGTGAATTCAGTCTGTTAAGAGTGTAGATATATAGTACATTTTGATTTTCTTTTTTTTTTCTCAAGTTTATTTGTCATCCTAAAAAACCCTTCTTCCCATACTCTGCCTGCACAGGTTCTTTGAGGAATCTTGCCAGTATCCCTTCGTTTTTTAGCTTTTCTTGATATAATTTATCTTTTTATTCTTCCCTCATTATTTTCTTTACTGCATTCCATATAGTGCTTACATGATATGAACTCTGAAAGATTTCTGAGATTGGTTAACATATCTAGCACTGTGGTCAAGGACAAGTTGAACCAAGGGCCAGTGTGGGCTTATAGTTTTCTCTGTTGATGATATAGAATTTGTGCTGGTGTTTTCCAGATTTGGTTATTTGTGTACTACTTTTACCATTTTTGCCTTGTCCATGTACCAACTATACTTAACTTAAAATTTTTCCTTTGCATGGGCTCGCTTTTTAAACTCTACACTTATCCTTAACGATACTCTGAAATCTGGGCTAAATTTTACTCATTCTATTTTTTTCTATTCCTTATTAGAATGAGTACATAACTGCCAAACTTCAATATGCCCTAAAATCATTTGTGTGTGTGTGTGTGTGTGTGTGTGTATTCCTTATTAGAATGAGTACATAACTGCCAAACTTTTCAATATGCCCTAAAATCATTTGTGTGTGTGTGTGTGTGTGTATGGTTTCTTTAGTAGATATGTTTTTAGTAATTAAAATTCCTTGCTACACCAAGCCCAAAGATAAGTTAAACTGTGTTCATTATTATATTATGTTAATTATAAGTTTAATGTTTGATATTTATATTGTCAGCTATAAAATAGCAACGTATTCTGAGAATTATTTTACCTCAAATATTTGCCAGGAGTAGTACCACTTAGTGAGTTCCAAATAATGATTTTTTTTTTTTTTTTAGTTTATCAGTTTCCTAAGATTTATGAGACTTGTACTCTTAATCATTTAAAAACATTTTATACTAATATTTGACTTTTAAAAATACTTTTGTTACAGTGAGATGGAAGATTTTCGAGGTATAGCAGAAGAGTCATTTCCAAGCTTTTTAACCAATTCATTGTTTGCTAATAGTGGGATTTTGGAAAATGTCACTCTTTCCTCAAATCTCGGTTTGCCTGTTGCTGTTTCCACACTTGCTAGAAATAGATCCAGCACTGATAACAGGTAAGATATGTTTGAACAGATTTTTTTCCCCCCAGGTGTGTAAAACCTAAAATATACTGATACTTTTCTCAGTCAAATTTGAGTTTTTTCTTTCTCCATTTCATTGCCTTATTAGTGGGTAGGTGGGTAAGTTTAGGATTTGAGCCCATTGACCTTTTTTTGGTCTCTTGTTTTTTCTGTCTATAGTGTATTGGATTTGTATTAGCTCGGTCTTATTAATGGCTGGTGATGTAAACCAAGTTGTGTTAGCGAAGTTCAAGAGGGAAAATAATCATAATGATATGGAAGCATCTTATAACATCAAGGGTAGGAAGGCACAGCTATGTTGCAAGAAGAGACAGGAGTAAGGCTCTGGAAAGCCATTAGGACTTGGGTCTTCTATTATCCCATTCTACTTTTCTCCATGTAGCTCTTTTGTTCTGTCTTTTAGTATACCGGTTTTATCAGCTTTTCTGTTCCATGTTGCAGAATATGGCAACATAAACTCTTGAGAAGCATCTATGAATTATATTTCCAGTTACACAAGGAGATTAATGAATTGTCTTTTAAAAATCTCATGGGTTACCAGTCTAGTTTTGGTTAGGTGTCCATTCCAAATCCAGTCGTCTATAGCTAGGGTTTTGGATTATGGGCATATTTAAAACTGTGACAGGGTCTTAACTTTTTCAGTCATTTCAGTGATGTTTACTCTTTACTACACTTGCATGACTGTCTTTCTCTGCCAACCTTTAGCCTGTCATAGACATCTGAAGTAACTTAGCTCTTACCACTCTAATAACTTTCAGCTCCCAAAGTCAGGTTCCCTTAGGAACTCAACCAGCATTTATTTTAACTTTTCTTATTTCTGTTTTATAACAAGATAGATATTTGGTTAAATATGGCTTATTTTGTATCTCCAAATTTAATGTGTGTAATTCATGCATCCATTACATATAAGGTCTTGGGTAATAGGTAAAGTTTGCCTATGCTTAAATATCTAGACACTTTCCTGGCTTATTTCACCTAAACATTTGGTAAGGTTTCATCTTTACCTTTGCGATGAAGGGATCTGATGAAATCTCTAAACTTTTTTAGCTTTAAGATTTCTGTGACTGTAAAATAACGGGTGAACACCCTGTGGTTGATCCACAGATTTCCATGCTTTGCATAGAGTTGATGGTTTTGAATACAGGAACTCTGTTTTTACCCCTTGGTGGTTGGTTTTACTGTCTTGCAGCCCTTTGTCTAGGTGAGATATAAATATATGTAATTTAATTCTTAACAGTTAAAACAAAAATTTTTGTGTAGGTGTCCTGATATCCAGGCATCTTACTTAGCAGAAGAGAGGTTTTCAGTTCCATTTGGGTCATCGCCCAGCAGCCAGAGTGATGCGGAACCAAGAGAAAGGTTACAACTGAGCTTCCAGGATGATGAGTAAGTTTATACCTTCACTTGCTTGCACTGTGTTAAAAGTGAGTCTTACTCAGTTTTGTGGAAAATGAAAATGCTCTTGTGTCTCTGATTAACTCTAAGAATATTTGGGAGCTTTCTTTATGTGTTTTAGTCACATTTTTACTCTTTGAAAAGTAATATATGCTCATTGAAAAAATAGAGATTATTAGGAAGATAATAAAGACCTGTGCCCACTAGCCAGAGAATAGCCATTGATTGCATTTTTATTTACAGCCTTTCAGACTATTTTCTGTGTGCATATTGGTATTTAAATTTTAATTTTACAAACTAGGATTAAACTGTCATACTGTTTATTGTAATTAAAAAAATTAAGATACAGTTTTGTGTTCAGCTTTCAATTACAATTCATATAAATCTGTCATAATGTTAATTTCTGTATGCTCAAGCCTTGGTTGGGCATTTAGATTATTATAATTTTGCTATTCTAAATGAAATGTAATGACCTTATTTATAGATTTATGCATACATTTTGCACACCTAAAAGATTATTTTATTGAGATAAATTTGCTGAGTTAAAGATATTTTATTTTAAAGGCCATTACAAATTAATGCACCGTTCTTTAGGAAGCTTGTAGTAGTTTATGATCCCATTAGATGTATATGAGAATGCCTGCTTCTCCCAGGCCTAACAAACATTTGATGGTACTGTTTTTAAGCTTTGATTTTTTAGGGATAAAAGTGATATATGCAAATGCATATATGCATAGGAGAAAGTCTGGAAATCTATAAAACCAAACTGGTAATGGTGGTGTTATAAACTACCTTGTTTTCTGTGTTTAAATTTGTATTCTAGTATTTATGGGATTGAACATACTTTAATGTCTATTCATTCCTTTTATTTCTGTTGTGAATTGCCTCTTGATAGCCTTTATATATAAGTGCTTTTATATATTAAAGATGCTAGCCCTTGTTTATTCCTTTATTGTGTATTTTTGACTGAGTGCCTACTATGTGTAAGGCACTTTTCCAGGTGCTTAAGAAGTAGCTGTAACCAAAACAGACTTAAACCAAAGACATTAAGATATGCTAACTTTATGGTATGTTAGAAGGGAAAAGTGCCAGAAAAACATAGAATATGATAAGGAGGTCTGTTAGTAAGGCATCGAGGACATAGATGTGAACAAAGGCTGTGGGGAGGGAGTTAACCATGTAGACATCAGGGGAAAAAGAACTTCGGGCAAGGGATGCAGCCCGCATGAAGGCAGTAAGGCAGGAGCAGACCCCCTGTGTCCACAGAGAAGCAAGGAGGCTGGAGGGGGATGAGCAGGACCTTGACTCTGACTCCAAGCAATATAGGAAACCGTTAGAGGGTTCCATCTGAATTATGTGGTAAAAGACTCACTCTGACTACTGTGTGGAGAAGAGCCTATAGGAGGCAAGAGCAGGGACAGGAAGACCACTTAGAAGGCTAGATTGTTGGGGGGCGGGGAGGTGAATGAAGAAGATAAGAGCACCAGGCCTGGTCTTCCTTCAGGGCACTGCGGCAGTAGGGAGTTGTGGCCAGGATGAATAGACGAAGAGACTAAGAAGTAGTGATCAGAGACAGGAGGAGAAGTATCTTGGAAGCCACATAGAAAACATGAGTAAAAGAAGAGAGAGTGAATCACCTACTGAACATGAGGATGAAGAATTGACCACTGGAATGAACATAGGTTAGGTCATTGGTGACCTTGGCAAGTAGTTTGATGGAAGTAGGGAGAGGGACAACAGCCTACTTAGAGAGAATTTGAGAATGGTAGGCTAATATCAGGCAGTAGACAGCTGGTGGTGCTTTGCTGCAAAAGAGAGCAGAGACATGAGGCTTTGATAGCTGGTGGTTGTGGTGGGTCCAGAGAAATTTCACCTTTTTTGTGGTGGGAGAAGTTGGTGCACGTTTGTGTGGTAATAGGAATGATCTGGAGAGATAAAACCTGTTTATGTAGAAAGAGAAGAGAATTGCTGGAACGGTGTCTGTGTAGCTAAGGGAATGCGAGTTCTAAAGTGCAAGAGAAGGGGCGTGGATGTAGCTTGGAGGACCATGGACAGTTCCCCTGTGTGACTGTTCTGGAGGGTGGCCTCTGCAGGTGCCTATAGTGGTGAGAATCTGTGAAGTTACCTTTTCAGTGCTTCAGGCGAAAAGTGGAGTCAGTGAAGTAGGACGCATGGCTATCTAGTTAGAGTGGAGATGGAGGAGGAGGAGCTGGTGATTTAAAAAGAGGTGGTATGATCACATGGGAGTGTAGGAAAATGAATGGTCGATTGAGAAATATTAGGATATTAGGATTGCTGGACAGCATCAAGGGCCCAACTTGAGAGTCTTGGTTATGAAGTTTGTATTGGACTGTGAGGGTGAATCTCATATTTCCTCTACAGCATTCAGCTGTAGGAGTGCAGGTGAGGAGTAGGTGGAGTGTTGGTTTGACCATGCTTGTAGGTGGAGTGCTTGATAAACACAGTGAGGCAAGGGAGCTGAGGATGTAAGATTGGCCACAGGATTTAGTTTAGGGAGGAGGAGATGAGATGAAAGGGCAGGGAGTGACATGCTGTGGTATAGGTGGTTTGGAGGCACAGGTGGGGCCCGGATCACAGAGTTGTGGTATGAGGGGCATTAGGTGATTCGAAGCTGTGAGGCTCTAGGGAGGGTGACCTGAGGGCAAGGGGGGGCATATGCATTTCGTTTCCTGGTGATGCCAAGGCAGTGGGAGAGTCCAGAGTCCTCACTTGACAGCGCTGAGGGGGAGCAGTGTCCTCACAGGATATTCAGGCCTTCATTAAGGCAGCAAGGCGAAAGGAATGTTCAGAGAAGAGGCCCAGGAAGAGCAGATCTTGCAGAACTTGCCGATCCAATTCTGTAACTTCTAGAAGACACAGTAAAAAAGATTTGGTTGTTGAGAAGGAGGGAGAGGGGCTGTGCAGTCTTAAGGGGCTTGGAGTGCTGGCAGTAAGGAATCCTGGGCTGGAGCTGAAATCAATAGGTAAAGGGCATTGTGAGGATCATCCTATTCAACTGATGTTGTGGTGAGACTGCAAGTGGGAGCAGCGGCATCTCGGGAGTACCTTCTTGACTCTTGATCAAGGGCAGGGGGTCTGGAAAGTGGTCTTGGCCCTTGTTACTGGAAAACAAGAGGCCTGGCGAGGAATCTTAGTCAGTGCGTGGGGAGAGGTGAGTGCTTAGGGCTAGCCATTGACTCTCGGATCATCTGAAGCCCCGGGTTGTTAGTCTGTGTGCTGGGGGTTTCTTTGGATACTGTGACGGAGGGTAGACAGCCAGGGAGGCATGGCTTTAGTCTCTGTGTGAGGGGTGGCTTCTTTGATCCCTTCTGGGGGAGGAAGGAATTCATGTGTTTCAGAATGTCTTTATTCTAACCTTTGAGTAAATCAATACTTTAGCTGAGTACAGATTTTTAAGATGGAAATAATTTTCACAAAATTTTGGAGGCATTGTTGCAGTATTGTGAAACCCGATGTAATTTTGATACTGGATCTTGCGTATCTGAACTATTTTTTTCCTCCAGAAAAATCTTAGAATCTTGAGTCCCTTGTGGGTTGGGGATTTTTTTTCTCCCATTCACTGAATTCTAGTTGGCATCAGTATGGAGATTATGTAGATTATGTGCTCTAGTTCTAGATAACTAATATTTCTTTGGCAAATTTCTTCTATTTTTCTATGTTCTTTGTTTTGGAACTACTATTTTTGATTGCTTGGGTTGACCTATTTCTATTGTCTCCCCCCTTTTTTTCTATTTTAGTGTAAAAGACATTGTTCTACATAAGTGTCTAATCTTTTTCCGATTCATTAAATCACTTGGAAATCATAATTTTAAACACAAGAGCTCTATTTTTGTCTCTCTTTTTTTCTTCTTCTTTTTTTTCTTTTCGAGTTGGAGCCTCACTCTGTCACTCACACTGGAGTGCAATGGCCGCTCCCGGCCACCACAGCCTCGCCTGCTGGGCTCCAGCGACCCTTCCGCCTCAGCCTTCCAAGTAACTGGAACTACAGGCGCGCACTACCACGCCCGGCTAATTTTTTTTTATTTATTGTAGAGATGAGGGCTCGCCAAGTTGCCCAAGCAGGTCTCGAACCCGCGGGCTTAGGCAATTCACTCACCTCGGCCTTCCAAAGCACTGGGATTACAGGCTGAGCCACTGAGCCCGGTCTGTCTCTCTTTTTTTAAATGACCTTTCTTTGTGGCTGTACCCTTGAACAACATAGGTTTGAACTGTGCCCGTCCACTTATACATGGGCATGTTTTCAACCCAACAAATAGAATATAGACAGGATGTGAAACCTGAGTATAGGTAGGACCAACTGGGGGACTTGAGTATGTGCAGACTTTGGTATACACTGCAGTCCTGGAATCCCCCATGTATATCAAGGGACAACTGTAAAAGCTACTTGAATATTTCTGGGGATTCTAATTAGAAATTTTTTAAAGTTCTGTAAATTATTCCTTTTCTCTGGGGTTATTTGTTAAGTTTGTTCATTTTTATTTTTATCTTTCAAGCTGCTCCTTTTTTTCCTTGTGTCTGATTTGTGACTGTCTTCTAGGTTGCTTGGGTATAGCTTCTTTAGCTGTTGTGTATAAGTCTCATTTCCATTTGGCTTCCTCGTGAGTAGGGCGTTGTTCCTGGTTGACATCACTTGAGAGTGAGCAGGTTGGAGTCTTAAATTTATTCCAGATGTTTAATGCTTTATTCTGGACTGCTGTTACCACCATTACTTCCTTCTCCACAGGCGTTTTATATACCTTGTCTGCCAGAAAGTCCTTCTTCCTCTACCCTTTATCTGGATGTTCACAGTCACATTTGTATTGCTGTTGTGTTCGTGGGGTATGGAGGAGGGTTAGTATGCCACCCTGATGGCTGCTAGATAGACTTTCAGTTAACCTGTCTCCTGCTGTCATTCTGACTTCCTCCTGACTCCTTCGAAGCGTAGGCATGCATCATTTCTGTGGTTCTTCCTGGCAGGTTTGTTTCCTCCTCTGCTTCTGGGCCCTTCTGTTCTTGTTCTGGATTGTGGCTTTCTTTTCCCCTGCCAACTCCGTCAGGTTTTTAGATTCTAGAATCGCGGGGGTAAGCGTGGAACCAGTTTGCTTCACTGTTAGAGATTTACTGTGATTTTATTGGACTCCTGGAAGTTGCTCTTGCCTCTTCAACTTGAAGTTATGTCTTAGTTTGGAAAATTGCCACGGACTAATGAAATCATGGGATAGCTATAGTTTTGAGGAAGTAAATTTTTCTAAGAGGCGGTATGAATGTAGTGAACCTGCCCTCAACTGTCCCTGTAACCTACAGTGCTAATGGTCATACTGCATGCTTTTCTGGAAAGGGAGAGACTTTAAAATACGGAAATTAATCTAAATATTCTGACTTTTAAAAATTCATTTCATGTCACTATCTTACTCCCTGACCCTTTTTCCTTTCTGTCCTCTCTACCACATGACTGTATTTATCTGTGTATAGTCCTTCTAGTCTTTCCACCTAGTCCTGCCCTCTTCTGTGCTGTGGGTGGAATTTTTCTATCTCTACCCATGTGTATCTTTGGCTTGAGCCAGTGGCTTCTTTTTTATTTGTTTGTTTTTGAGTTGGAGTCTCATTCTTTGTCGCCCAGACTGGAATGCAGTGGTGTGCTCACGGCCACCGCAGCCTCGACCTGCTGGACTTAGGCAATCCTTCTGCCTTGGCCTTCCAAGTAACTGGAACTACAGACACACGCCACCATGCCTGGCTAGTTTTTGTGATTTATTGTAGAGACGAGGTCTCATCAAGTTGTCCAGGCTGGTCTCGAACCCCCGGGCTCAGGCAATCCTCTCGCCTCGGCCTCCCAAAGTACTGGGAGCCACATGCTGAGCCACCGTGCCCGGCCTAGTGACTTCTTATGTACTACAGTAGCAATAAAAAGATGGAGAAACTGGGAGATAAATTGTAGGTAGAGTTGAAGAGTTACTTCAGGCACAGGTTGGGACTTGGGAAATATGGAAAGATGATTTTTAAAAAATCCTTCCTGGCTGAATTTAAGTCTGGCTCTAGTTATCAGTTTGCCATATGATGAATTTGTTGCGTTTAGAGGCTTCTTCTTGAGGCTTCTTCCACACCCCTCTTGCTGGTGTGCTGCTGTAGACCCAAGAGCTTTTGCATTAGCTTGGGCAAAAATGTCCTTGAAGGAAAAATATTTTTATCCACATAGAAAACAGCAGAGTAGGCTGGGCTCAGTGGCTCAGCCTGTAATCCCACGATCTGGGAGGCCGAGGTGAGTGAATTACCTGAGCCCGTGGGTTTGAGACCCACCTAGACAACTTGGGCAAGACCTCATCTCTACAATAAATCAAAAAAATTAGCTGGGTGTGGTAGTGCGCGCCTGTAATTCCAGCTACTTGAAAGGCTGAGGCGGAAGGATCACCGGAGCCCAGCAGGTCAAGGTTGTGATGGCTGGGAGCGTGCCACTGCACTCCAGTCTGGGCGACAGAGTGAGACTCCAACTAAAAAAAAAAAACAAAAAAAAAACCTTTGTTAGTTCAGAGATTTAGCTAGTTGGCAAATATACCAATATCCCTTAAGTATACCTTGTATTTAGAAAGCTGAGTTCTCTGGACATGATAGTTTCAGGGATACCTTATTTGGGAAAGGAAAATTTTTAATCGCTTGAGAAGCAGAGCAGCAATATGACATTGTCTTTGATTTTGGTAGACTGTACATCACTAGACCCAAAATGTTGATTCAGTTTCCAAAATATCTAGCAGTGTTTCCAATTGTACTTTCTGGCTGTACCTAGAAATGTTTTCTTACCCATTTTTTTTTCTTTTTGACAGATGAAATATATAACTGATTATTAAAAATTTTATAGGTATTTACTCAAGGTAACTAACAGTTTATTATTATTTTGTTCCTTAATTTAAAAGTTCTATCTCTAGGAAAAAGAACCGTGTGGAAAGTCAGTGTTTGTCAGATGTTCTCAGGAAACAGTCAGCTTTCCCAGGTGACATAGCAGGACTAGAAGAGGAGCAGGCCAAAACGACAGAATCCTTTCAGGGTCAAGAGCTTTTTGAAAGGACTTCACCACTGGAACAAATACAAGGTACTGAACAATTAGAAGTTATTTTTAAATGTATAAATTTTAATTTCTCTATCTTGGATTTTTTTTTTTTTTTTTTTTTTTTGAGATGGGATCTTGATATGTACCCAAGCTCATCCTGAACATCTAGGCTCACGTAACCCTTCTGTCTCAGCCTCCTGAGTAGCTGGGACTAAGGTGTGCACCACCACACCCAGCTAACTTTTGGCGGAGATGAGGTCTCACTATGTTGCCAAGCCTGGTTTTGAACTCCTGGGCTCAAGTAATCCTCATGCCTTGGCCTTCCAGAGTGCTGGGATTACAGAGGTGAGCCCCATGTCTGGCCTGTCTGATTCCTTTCAAGTACTTTACATTCTCTTTCTTTCTTTAGAGAGATCAAAACTGGAAATTGAAAACTATACTCTATAGGCTTATATTGCATGAATGAATGCACACTGTAAGTTAAAAAAAATTGTTTTTTTTTTAACTCAGTGTCTCATTCTGTCACCCAGACTGGAGTACAGTGGCACAATCATGGCTTCACTGCAGCCTCAACATCCTAGGCTCAGGTGATCCTTCCACCTCAGCCTCCAGAGTGCTGGGACTACAGGTGCATGCCGCCACACCTGGCTAATTTTTTGATTTTTTTTTAAGAGACAAGGTCTTGCTATTTTGCCCAAGCTGGTCTTGAACTCCTGTGCTCAAACAGTCCTCCCTCTCCGCCTCCCAACGTGCTGGCATTATAAATGTGAGCTACCACGCCTGCCCCCCAAAGTTAAAAAAACGTTAAGGAATATTTCTGTTTCTTTTGATGAAAACTGTCATATATATGGAAGTAGAGAGAATAGTTTTAATTCTCCATACTCAAATAAGCACTAAAAGAAAAATACAGGTAAATGGGTCTTCATCAAAATTGAAAACGTTTGTGCTTTAAAAGACACTATCCAGCAAGGGAAAAAAGACTGGGCACAGTGGCTCACACCTGTAATTCCAGCACTTTGGGGAGCTGAGGCATGAGGAGTTCCTGAACCCAGGAGTTCGAGACCAGCCTGGGCAACACAGTGAGACCCTGTCTCTACAAAAAAATTTTTTAAATTACCTGACTGTGGTGGCACATGGCCTATAATAGTTCAAGGTACTCGGACGGCTGAGGCAGGAAGATCACTTTAGCCTAGGAGTATTAATTTACAGTAAGCTATAGTCATTCCACTTCATTCCAGTCTAGGTAACAGAGTGAGACCTTATCTCTTAAAAAAAAAAAAGCCGGGCTCGGTGGCTCAGCCTGTAATCCCGTGCCTTTGGGAGGCTGAGGTGAGTGGATTGCCTGAGCCCTAGGGTTCGAGACCTGCCTCGGCAGGCGAGACCTCATCTCTACGATAAATCAAAAAATTACCCGGGCATGGTAGCGTGCACCTGTAGTTCCAGCTACATGGAAGGCTGAGGCGGAAGGATTGCTGGAGCCCAGCGGGTCAAGGCTGCAGTGGCTGGGGGCAGCCACTGCACTCTAGGCTGGGCGACAGAGTGAGACTCCAACTCAAAAAAAAAAAAGAAAAGATAAACCAAAGAATGGGTGAAAAATCTTTGCAAATCATATATGTGAAAAGGAGCTAGTGTTGAGAATATATAAAGAACTCTTACAACTCTATATTAAAAACACAAGTGGTACCAGGTGTGGTAGCTTATGCCTGTAACTTTGGGAGGCTGAGGCGGGATACTTACCTGGACCCAGAAGTTCAAGATCAGCCTAGGCAGCATAGCGAGACCTTGTCTCTACAAAAAACAGAAAAATTAGCTGAGTGTGGTGGCTTGCTTCTGTAGTCACAGCGACTTGGAAGGCTGAGGCAGAAGGATTGCTTGAGCTTAGCAGGTTGAGGCTGCCATGAACTGTGATGATGCTACTGCACTCCAGCCTGGGCAACAGAGTGATATTCTAACTAAAATAAATAAAACAATACAAAACAAAAAACAAATGAGCAAAGAATCTGAGTAGACATTTCTCAATAGAAGTTATACAGATGGCCAATACACACATAAAAATATATTCAATATCATTTGTCATCAGGGAAATGCAATTCAAAGCCACACTGAAATACCATTTTATACCCACTAGGATAACTATAATCAGAAAGATGGAAAATGACAAGTGTTGGTGAGGTTATGGATATGAAATGCTCACACCTTGCTGGTAGGAATGTAAAATGGTGTAGCCACAATTTGACAGTTCCTCAAAACGTAAAACAGTTACCATATGGCCCAGCAATTCCATTCCTAGGGCATATCATGAAGGGAAAATGTATGTCCACACAAAAACTTGTACTTGAATGTTTATAGCAGCCTTATTCACAATAACCAAAAAGTAGAAACAACTCAAATGTCCATGAACTGTTGAATGGATTAAAAATGTAGTTTGTCTTTATGATGGAGTCTATTTTCTCCATAAAAATAAGTGGAGCCGGGCTTGGTGGTTCAGCCTGTAATCCCGCGCCTTTGGGAGGCTGAGGTGAGTGGATTGCCCGAGCCCGTGGGTTTGAGACCTGCCTGGGCAGGCAAGACCTCATCTCTACAATAAAATCAAAAAATTAGCTGGGCGTGGTAGCGCGTGCCTGTAATTCCGGCTACTCGGAAGGCTGAGGCGGAAGGATCGCTGGAGCTCAGCAGGTCAAGGCTGCGGAGGCCGGGAGCGGCCACTGCACTCCAGTCTCGGCGACAGAGTGAGACTCCAACTCAAAAAAAAAAAAAAAAAAAATAAGTGGGATATTGATACGTGCTGTAGTATAGGTGAACCTTGAAAACATTATACTAAAGGAAAGAAACAGAAAGGGCAACAAAATGTATGATTCCATCTATCCATAGGGAAATCTATAGACACAGAATAGGCAAATCCCTGATAAGCAGATGAGTGTTTGTGAGGGGCTATGGGTGTGGGGAGTAGGGAGGGGAAGTTAATGGGTTTAGTATTTGTTTTTGGAATGATGAACAGAGTGATGATGGCTGCACAGTTGTGAACGTACTAAAAACCACTGAATTGTATGCCTTAACTTGTAAGGGTGAGTTTTATGGTATGTGAATTATATGTCAATATGTAAAAAACCTCCCCATATACCTATCCTTTAGTTTCAGTTGGTGTAAGATTTTGTCATTCTTGCTTCATCTCTTCTTTTATTACTTTTTTTCCTGATATTTTAAAATTACAGATATCATTTTATTCGTATGTACAAGGGGGGACCAAAAAAATCCCGGAATTATCTTTTTGGAGGGCAGGCCCTTGTAGTACACTTGGAGTTTGTTCCTTTGGATCAGTCAAAGTTTTTAACTGGAAGTTTTGAGAAGGTTGTGTTACGATTTACTGTAGAAGAAACAAACTGAGTTGTGGCAAACAGGTGACTCATTCCTCCGCCATGTATTCTGCAGTTTTTGGCCAAAAACAGCATGACCCTCATGCTCCACCCTCCCTATTCACTGATCTTGCCCCAAGTGACTTTTTTTTGTTTTCCTGGATGAAAAAAAATCCTCAAAGAGAAACATTTTGCTGATGTGGAAGAGGTGAAAGAAAAAATGGCGGAACCACTAAAAGGCATCCAAATTGATTAGTTCAAACACTGTTTTGAGCAGTGAAAAAAGTGCCTTGATAGGTGTTCTGCATAAATCAGAGAGTACTTTGAAGGTAACTGAAGTTGAAACATGTAAGAATAAATACACAATTTTTTTTTTTTTGAGTCGGAGTCTCACTCCATCGCCCAGGCTGAAGTGTAGTAGCACGCTCGCGTCCACCCCAGCGTCGATTTGCTGGTCTCTGGCAATCCTTCCACCTCGGCCTTCCAAAGTTGCCAGAACTACAGGCATGTGCTACCACGCCGGCTAATTATTTATTTATTTAATTACTGTAGAGACGAGGTCTTGCCAAGTTGCCTGGGCTGGTCTTGAACTCATGGGCTCAGGCAATCCACTTGACTTGGCCTCCCAAAGTGCTGGGATTACAGGCTGAGCCACCTAGCCTGGCCTATGCACAAGTTGTTATAAATAAATTCTGGGTTCTGTTGGGTCCCTCCTCATATCTCTAAAAATATGGACACTTTTACATAACCACAGTGGTATTAACACATCTAAAAAATTGATCTATTCTTTACTTATTGTCTAGCATAGCTGTCCATATTGATTTACTTGAATGAGGATCTGAGGGCAATATGTTGTGGTACATCTGTTTTGTGTCTTATGGTGTCAATGCCTTGTTGAAATATACTAGATCAGCCACCCTGTAGTTTGTCCCACTATTTCATCTGTTTGCATAATCAGGGTGTTACTTCTCTTATGTCTTTCTTTACCACATCTCCTACAATGCAGAAAGCTGTCAGGTTTGATTAAATTCATATTCCAGTTCTTTGGCCTTATATATATATTTTTTTATGATTCCCCACCCTAAACTTTTTTTCAATTTAATTGACCAAAGATGGGTTTCTATATACCATTATTTAAAAGTGTTTCTATTCTACTTCAAGACAAAAATGTTTATGTGCAATTTTTAGGTATTGTTGGATATTTACTTGTGAAAATAACCTAGTTTCAGTTTTTTTGTTTTTTTTTCCTTAACAGACTCACTTACTGATTTTTGTCTACAATCACGGACACATAATAAAGAACACAAGGTAAACTTTTATATATTTGTTATCAATTTCTGGAGTGTTATAGGGGAGCAAAAGTCCATATTTTACATATGTACATGCCAATTAATGTTAGAAATCTTCTGCTTGTACATAGCAAAAGTACAACTTCTATAGCTTCAGCCAAAATGAGAGCTTATGGCAAATAATTAGAAGATTGAGGCGTAGTCCTGGTGCATGAGACTGTGTATTCTTGGACTCGATGGTGACGTCAGAGCTGCCTCCATCTCTGCTCTGCTTTACTCTGTGCTCACTTCCTCTAGGATCTTGTCTCCATGACGACAGGGGTTTCTCTGTGGTTATTACTATTATTACTATTTGCTTCTTTTTTTCTTTTGAGTTGGAGTCTCACTCTGTCTCCCAGGCTGGAGTGCAGTGGCACGCTCATGGCCACTGCAGCCTCCACCTGCTGGGCTCAGGTGATCCTTCCACCCCAGCTTTTCAAGCAGCTGGAACGGTAGATACGCGCCAACACGCCTGGCTAATTTTTTGATTTATTGCAGAGATGAGGTCTCATCAAGTTGCCCAGGCTGGTCTCAAACCTGTGGGCTGAGGCAATCCTCTCACCTTGACCTCCCAAAGTGCTGGAATTATATGCATGAGCCACGGTGCTTGAATGCCTGGAATAGTCCTTGGCACGTGGTTGTTGCTCAATACCTTGTTAAATGATAGGCAAGGTCTTTTCATTTGTAGGCAGTCCACACCTCATTCTTAACATCTGTGATCAAAAAAGAAGAGGGATAAGGACAACCCTAATGAACTCCTTTGGGTCATACGTCCTCCCCTGTGAACATCACTATGCTGAGGGGTAGGTTAGGCTGAGCTTGCATCCTGTGTCTACTTTTGTGTGTGTACTTGCATTTGAGTGTGTACACATGCACAGAAAGAGGCATGCAACTGACAACCACACTGTACCACATGAAGTAAAAAGACTTCTCAAAGGAATGGGTGCTGAGCAGGTCCACTGCATGGCCAACATCAACACCAAACCTGTATTTCATTTGTGTAGTCGCATACTTAGGAGACGTGATTGGAAAATATAAATACTGTAAAAACTTATAAAAAAGAGATGCAATTTTTGTTTTATTTTACTTTCATAAGAACTTTAAAGAGTATTTTTGCAAAATGATTGCAAAAGGGTCTAAAGTTAAAAGTTACTTCCCTATGACAGGGATCGGCAAACCTCAGCTCAAGGTCCAGATTGAGTCTCCTGCCTGCTTTTGTAAAGTTCTGTCGGAACACAGCCATGCCCATTGGTTCATGTTTTGTTTACGGCTGGTTCGGAGCTACAACAGCAGAGTTGAGAAGTTGTGACAGAGGTTGTATGGCTTATGAAGCCTGAAACATTTACTTTCTGACCCTTTCCAGAAATTGTTTGCTGACCCTGCCCTATGTACTCTCCCTGTATGTAACTACTGGTAAGTTTTAAGTGTGTGTGTTGCTTTTTAGAGGAAGTTCAAGTGTAGTGAAGTTGAAATTAGATCAGAAAGCATGAATCCTTTAATATTGATTTTAATTCTTATTCTACAACAAATTGTACTTGCTTATTTTCAGAACATTTAGAAAAAGTTATTTCTAGAGAGATCGTTAATTTCCTACATGGAAGGTAATTGATTTCTTAGTATAGTTGATGGATCGATATGCTAAAAGTATTCGAGACAATTAACAACAAAAGAAATGGACAGTAGAATTGGAAAGCAACAAAACAAGTATAGAAACACGAGGTGCTTGATTACTAAGGGGAAGAAGTGAGGATAGGGGAAAATAAATGTATTATAAAACTGAGACCAGAGGGAGCGACTTCTACATTTGGTTTTTGGTTTAGCTTTGCCTCTCCTGGCAGCCAAGTCATTGAAGGAAATGTATTTTTGTAGGCATCACTGTCTAAACTGTAGAAGCTATGACATTTTATCAGAACAGAGACTCTTTCATATGGTGCCCCGTTGGCCTATGTATAAGGGATCAAGCATGGCTAAGGTACATGGGCTTCTCAGTGACAGACATGACAAAAAGGGCAGAGGGGTTTTACATATTGCTCTTTCCCATATAGCTTTTTCTTAATTGTTTATCATGAAAAATTCCAAAATAGAGCTTATATTGCACGACTTAACATTTGCCACATTCTAGGTGAGGATCTAGCTTTGTGCTTAGAGACATCTTGCAGCTCACCTACCAGCAATTCGACCACACTTTTTTACAAAATAGTGAAAAACGAATCACTTCATATTAAATAATACAGTTACTTTATTGTAATGATATTTGGCTTGGAATGGAATTTTGGACATTGAGGAATTTATTTATGACAAAAAGATCAACGTTTTATATCTTATATTTTTTATAATGTGTGATAACGTTTGAAACAGTCCTTGACACACATTACAGGCTTATTGACACATGTTAGGCAATAGTAATTTGTTGGATGTCTTCCAGCTGGTGGTTTTCTATTCGAGCAGGCAACATAGTCTCGTTTTTTTCCTTTCATGTTGATAATTTGTCATTTTTGTCCAGTTTGTTGTTTGAAGATGATTTGAAGGAGGCACTTGTGATTCCTGAAAACCACTTCTCAACTGATAGGTCAGAAGCTTGACATATTTCAAATGGGACATAGGTTTTTCATTATTTTTATTTTTTATGCTCAGTATAGTACATGAGTAAGAGTTGATAATGCTTATTTGCAGTACCCAGAAGAATAATTTTTTCCACTATTTTAAAGATTTTCACAAAAAACAATATGTAGAAGCATGCTGATTCACATGATCCACACCACTCATACTTGCAATTGAATTTAGAATCATTTCAGGCCTTTTGACTGATATAATATTTCCATCACAAAACGTTCTTGTGGTAGATTTTATTCCTGCATGATTCCAAGTGCTGAGAATTGCAATGATCCTTTTGTTCTTCCACACAAGAAGCATAAGATTATTTTTCCTATACACTGTTGTTTTTTGTTTTTTTCTTTAAAAACTTTGACTTTTTGATTTGTGCTGGTTTTCCCTTTTGATTGTGCCAGTAAGATGGCATGTCATCTTTAATAGCTCTTCTGCTAGGACAATACTAGTGTAATACCTGTCAGTAAATATGTGGTATCCTGCTGCTTTGGGTACTTTTTTCAACAGCTTTTTATATAAACGTAATGGAATTCGGGTGCTTACTGGAGGATCTGGCCAAATGATGTTGTTGGATGTTATGCTGCCATAGTATTGAAAAAAATCTACTCTGTTTTTGAATCAGCTAGCATATAAATGCATGTACTCCATTTGGTAGGCTTAAGTGGATTGTATGTTATAAATGTTATCTACCCTTTAAATGGAATGATGGATTTGTCAACACAGATTGCCTGGTGTGAAATATTGCAAACATTTTGAATCAGTGTATTCCAGATGATTGTTCACCTTTTGAATATGAGTTCTGATTGTCCCATCACTTGATGCAGGTGTCTTCAAATGAAGCACCCAGAAGATTTGTATAAACCTTTCTCTACTGAATGTTTCAGAAAAGAAGAGTATTTTACTGTTTTACTATTGAAAGCACCAATTCTCCTGCAAATTTGATACTTGAATTATTCCAATATTTAGGATAACTGCTATAAAAGCTAAAAATTCCTGTCGGTAAAAGTCATGCCAAATCAATTTTTGTGATAACTCCTTTTTCCTTTTTTTAAAAAATCCATATAATGAATTGTTTCTTTTATTACGCTATTGACTAATTCATTTGTAAAATACAGAGTAAAATAGTCAGTCGGTTCTCTTATATTACTGGCTATTTGTGGTCCTGTTGTGTGAGGATGTACAACAAAATTTATTCTCGCTGAAGGATCGTCTTTTTCTGTAACATCTTTCCATTTTTCACTTGATGATAAGTTGTCTCCTCCTTCGAAACTACTAACACTTTCATTGTTATCACTTTCTATTACATTTGCCCGTTTTCTTCTTGGTGGGATGATATTACTATTGCTACTATTGTTTTCCTCATCAGTACTTATTTTTTTAACTTGTCTATATAAAAGTCTAAATCTAACTCATCTTCCCTGCTGCTTTTAACTCTGACTTCTGTCCTTTCATTTTGCCATTGTTCTGCAAACTAAATAAATATATAAACAATTTCTAATTGTAAATTATGAAATCATGTGCCAGGCACAGTGGCTCATGCCTGTAATTCCAGCACTTTGGGAGGCTGAGGCCAAAGGATTGCCTGAGCCCAGGAGTTTGAGATCAGCCAGTACAACTTGGCGAGACCCCGTTTCAACTATAAGTCAGAAAATTAGCTGAGCGTGATGGCACACACCTGTGGTTCCAACTACTTGGAAGGCTGAGGCAGAAGGATCACCTGAGTTCAGCAGGTCGAGGCTGCAGTAGCTGTGATGATGCTACTGCACTCCAGCCTGGGCGACAGTGAGATTCCATCTAAAAAAAATATATATATATTAAATTAAGAAATGGAATTTATCCAAAGAATATTACTTTTCCAATTTTACTTTTCTGACTTAGTGCAGATAGCTGTATTCAATCTGTGCTGATCGATACTTTAATACAATCTGCTTTCAACTTCGAAACTTTCTTTTAAGGCTCCAGTAACTTGCTTGTATGTCTTTTCAAGTTTTGTCATTTGATGTAAAAGGTATACACACAGTTGCCTTTCTTATACAAATGCTCTTTATCACTACCTTCTGTTACAAAGAAGTGTCGGCATACTGTGAAAGCACTTCACACAATCTCTTTCTACGAAACGCCAGCTGATATTTTTTGATGTATATCTCAGTATATATTTCATCTCTTTATTTGCTTTTTTGTACACTTTGAATAGAAAACTTAAAAGGAAACATACATTTTTGAAAAATGTGTGAAAAATGTGTGCTTGTATAAGTTTGTCCTGTATCATCACCAGCAATCTCTTTCTGTACCCAGAGAGGGGACATCCAAGTGCAAAGGGCTGAGGAGTACTTTATAGTAGCTCTTGGTGCTCCTTTTGCCATGGATACTTATGAGAATAGCTCAACACTATCCTCTAGATGTGTAAAATTGCAGTGAGATCCCCTGTTTGGTCTTACAAAATTAGTATGCCTTTTGCAGCCTTAATTCTTACGTTGATATTGTTTTAACTTTATATTTAATATCATTGCGAAATAAAATCAACACTTAGAGGGAATTGTTGAATTTTCATTCTTGTCCTTCAGTATTCTTAGTAAATAGCTATATGCTTTAGGGTTACCTGATCCCTAGGTTGAGGAGCAGAGAAATTGTTCTGTGTAATGGTATGAAAAGTTACTTAGGTAAGGGTTGCTCAGTCTAGCTTTGCTGTTGTTGTCACTTTCTTTTTTTTCTGAGTCGGAGTCTCACTCTGTCGCCCAGGCTGGAGTGCAGTGGCACACTCACGGGCACTGTAGCCTCAACCTACTGGGCTCAGGCGATCCTTCCGCCTCAGCCTTCCAAGTAGCTGGAACTGCAGGTGGGTGCCACCATGCCTGGCTAATTTTTTGATTTATTGTAGAGACGAGGTCTCGCCATGTTGCCCAGGCTGGTCTCGAACCTGTGGACTTGGGCAATCCTCTTGTCTCCACCTCCCAAAATGTTGGAATTACAGGCATGAGCCACTGCGTCTGGCACCTGTTGTCACTTTGTGTGGTAAGCCTTGTGTTGCTCAAGTTCAGTTGTGTGAGTACTAGTATATTAACTGTATCACTAGGTTCTCTGAGCATATGCACACAATGTGAGATAAGCCTTAAATTTTAGGGATGTGTTATTGGTTGGGTCAGGAGGGAGGTGGCGTGGGGACAGGAAGGAAAGTTATTAATTTTTGAGTTGGAATCTTACTCTGTTGCCCAGGCTAGAGTGCAATGGCATGCTCACGGCCACTGCAGCCTCGACCTCCTGGGCTCAGGTGATCCTTCTGCCTCAGCCTTCTAAGTAGCTGGAACTACTGGCATGTGCCACCACATCTGGAAATTTTTTTTGATTTATTGTAGAGATGAGGTCTCACCAAGTTGTCTAGACTGGTCTCAAACTCTTGAGCTCAGGCAGTCCTCTCACCTTGACCTCCCAAAGTGCTGGGATTATAAGTGTGAGCCACCATGCCTGGCCGAAAGGAAAGTTGTTAATGCCTGTAAAACAACTAGCCCTTTATTGCCTAAATTGTGTTTACATGATACTGAGCACATAGGAGGTTGAGAACATACTTGGTCCTTTTTGTAGCCTTGTACTATGCTTTTCAAAGTAGTGACTGTGTTTCTCTTACTTGCCATTTTGTTTCTTGTAGATTGTTGTGCTAGATGCTGGAAAACATTTTAAAGATGAGACTCTCAACAGTGACTTCAGCCACACTAGCTTATTAGAAAATGAGAAACTTATGTTACCAACAAGCTTTGAAGATTCTTCTGGTACTGCAGAGTAACTTGTGTTTTTCTATTCCTTATCTTGCAACTCCACTTTATTTTCCTTTGTTGCAGTAGTTATTATGCCAACTCTTTGGTTTTTTGCCATCCCCTTTTCCTCCAACCTGTCAGCACTCAAATGGTTTCTTCCGTTAAATGATGGGATTTAAAATTCTTTTTCTGTATGTCGGTCCTGATATGATTATACTTATTCCCCAATTTAACATCTTTAGCGTACAAAGTAGTCACTGAAAGGTGCCACACAGTGTGTGTGTTTGTGTGTGTGTGTGTGTGTGTGCACATATATATATATTATATTTTACGTATGTATATGTATTCGTGTATATTATATGTGTGGGTATGTGTATATATGCACATATATGTATGTATATGCACCTATTATGTGTATGTATTTTATTATTATTTTTTAGATAGTGTCCTGTTCTGTTGCCTAAGCTGGAGTGCAGTGGCATAATCATAGCTCGCTGCAAACTTGATCTCCTAGGCTTAAGTGATCCCCCTGCCTCAGCCTCTCAAGTTGCTGATACTACAGACATGTGCCACCACACCCACCTAATTTTTATATTTTTTGTAGAGATAGAGTCTTGCTATATTGCTCAGGCTGGTCTTGAACTCCTGGCTTCAAGCATTCCTCCCACCTGGGCCTCCCAAAGTGCTGGAATTACAGGCATGAGCCACTGTGCACAGCCTGCCACTCAGTATAAAGCACTATGTTTAGAAATTGGGGTAACTGAAATATTTAGCCACTGCTTTCCAAGAGACCTCAGCCACGTGCAGAAAAGAGATGTAGAACCAAACATTAGATTATTAAGCATACCCAGCAATGCAGAGATTCCTTGGGAATCACAGGGAGTGATCAGCTCTGATTGAGGAAGTTGACTCTGAAGCTTTCTGGAAGGAGCATGGGGCCTCTGCTAGACTTAGATATGGGAGGAGGAGCACATGTCAGGAAGCAGGAACAGTGTTAGCAAAGGCATTACTGTGAGGCAGATAGACATGTTTGGGGAGTAGCCAGTGGTTTTGTGTGGCAGATTTACAGCACCTATGGGAGGCTGTGTTGGTAAATAAACTCTGAAAAGTAGGCTGTGGCAAAATTATGCATGACTTTGAAGGCCATGCTGATGGGCTAAGTGGGATAAATAGCATCAAATCCAGTCAGGACAGGTTTGCTACCCAAGTTTTCAGACTTTTTTGGATTGTAGAATTGTGGCTGAGGAATTATTGACCTGAATAATCAGATCTTTGATTGTTTTAATAAGCGAGATTCTTGGAGGTGAAATTGCTAAGTCATAGATTGTGTTGTTAAGACTCTTAATTTTTTTTTTTTTTTTTTTTGAGTCAGAGTCTCACTCTGTTGCCCACGTTGTAGTGCAGTGGCACACTCATGGCCACTGCAGCCTCGACCTCGACCTGCTGGGCTCAGATGATTCTCCTGCCACCATGCCCGGCTAATTTTTTTTTAAATTTATTGTAGAGATGAGATCTCACCAAATTGCCCAGGCTGGTGTCTAACGATATGCTCTTATCTCAAAGTGCTGGGATTATAGCCGTGAGCTGTTGCACTCACCCAAGACATTTAATGCTGATTGCAAAATTAACCTTTAAAAAGGCAGTGCCAAATTATGAGTACTATGATTGAGAGTTCTTGTTTTATCATCCCTTTGTTAAGCTAGGTGTTAAAACATTGAAAACTCCTGCAGTGTTCTTCCTCCCTTCCTCTCTCCCTCCCTCCCTCCCTTCTTTCCTTCCTTCTTTTTCCCACAATAAGTTTATCTATCCTTTATTTTGAGTCAACCATTTGTCATACCATTTTCTGAATGGTCTGCTCTTTTCCTGTGAATTTGTGATGACATATTTATAATACCCTGAATTTTGATAATATGCCAGGATCGCTTCTGTCCTGTTCTCTTAAAAAGGTTAAATATTAAGCTTATATTAAAATGTTCATAATGGAGGCCAGGTGTGGTAGCTCATGCCTGTAATCTCAGCGTTTTGGGAGGCCGAGGTGGGAGGTTTGCTTGAGCCCAGGAGTTTGAGACAGCCTAGGCAACATGGCAAGACCTTGTCTCTTCAAAAAATAAAATAAAATAAAATTAGCTGGACATGGTGACATGCATCTGTATTCCCAGCTACTCAGAAGGCTGAAGTAAAAAGATCTCCTAAGCCCAGAAAGTTGAGACTGCAGTGAAACTGTGATTGTGCCGCAGCACTCCAGCCTGGAAGACAGGGTGAGACCCTGACTCAAAAAAAATAAAACAATAATAGTTATAATGATAAAAATGTTCACAATGACTTACAATTGATATTATAATAGTTTTCTCATGTCAAATATAAAAACAAAATTATATAGCCCATTGACTCATTTAGGTCTTATCAGATTTTTTGATTAAAAATTATTTGTTGTTTAGTCACTACTTTAAAGTCTGTCCTTTTTTCTCTATTTTATCAATAGATGATGATATTGATGATGAACTGTTTTATGATGATCATTTAGAGGCTTATTTTGAACAACTGGCAATTCCAGGAATGATATATGAAAATCTAGAAGGACTGGAACCTCCAGAAAAAGATTTTAAGTTACCTACAAGTGATCCGACTGAGGTATATTTCAGTCTTTATGGTTTTTGACATTAGAAAATTACTGTTGGTCTCATTGGATGTTAACATTAAACATTAAATTTAGCCCTTTGTTTTTCTTTCTACTCTTGTTTTTCTCAGGCATGAATTAATGAGAAATGCCCGCCCTTTCCTCCTTCCTCTTACCTTTCCCTTGCCTACAGAAAATTAAAAGGGTGCTATAGTGGCCATCTTTGTCCTCTCATCCAGATTCACCAGTGCTAACGTTTGCCACCTTTGCATTTTTTTCCCCTCTCCATAAGTACTTTCTTCTCTGAATCATGTAATAGTAAGTTGAAATAGTATATTTCACTTCAGTACTTTTTATTTGTCTGTTGCAAATAAGGACATTTTCTACATAATCACAATTCTATTATGTAACTCTGGTAAGATAATTTAAATAAATATGCAGTCCATATTCAAATTTACCCAGTTGTCCCCAAAATGTCTTATATTTTTCCTGTTTTATGATCAGGAATTTAATCAAAGATTTCGCGTGTCTTTGGTTGTCATGTCTCTTTATTCTCTTTTAATGTGGAGTAGTTCTTTCATGACATGAAACATCTTATAAAATCTAGGCTCTGTGTTTTGTAGAGTAACCCATATATCTGGTTGCTTTTTTTCCCCCTCTTGACTAGATTAGATTAAACATTTGGCAGGAATTCATATTAAACAATTTTCTCATGAGTGGAGTCCGATTAAACATAGGCAATATTGTATACTTCTCATTCACATCAGGAAACGTTTGAATCTGTTTGTTCCACTGTTGGTGATGCTGTATTTGATAATTTTAGTTAAGGTAGTATTGGCCAGATGTGTCCTTGTGAAGGTATCTCTTCCCCTTTGTTATTAGTAAGTCATTTGTGGAATGATCTATCAAAGTCATATGAACATCTTATTCCCCAGCAATCCTTCATGAACTGATTTTACCATCTTTACTGAAACTTGGAAACTATTACACTGGTGGTTACAATGGTGATTTTTATATTTCCTTCTTTATTACCTAGTGTCCTTCAGTAAAGCAGACATTGTCTACTTCCCATGTTTTCTTCCTCAAAATTAATTTTAGTTTACAAGAGTAATACATGTAAGATATTCTTTCAACAGGAAAATGAAAACAGTAGCTTAAATTGTAAGTTTCTATCAGAAAATAACAGCTCATTGATTTCCCATGGTTCACACTCTTCTGAAAAAACTCACAAAGAGACTGAAGAAGGTCAAGTTATTTGTCTACCTGGGATTAGTAAGTATTGAAACATGATTCCTTTGTTCTTAAGTTCTATGTTTTACTTTACCTTTTTTTTAAAAAAGATCATTTCTTAGGTGTGATTTAGCATATATTAACCCTCCTAGTCCCTCATGTCTTTCAACAGTCTAGAACTTTTCTTTGTCTTTTCTTTTCTCTCTCTCTTTTTTTTTTTTTTTAGGGAGTTTCACTCTGTTACCCAGGCTGCAGCCTTGACCTGTTGGGCTCAGGCAATTCTTCCTCCTTAGCCTTCCAAGTAGCTGGAGCTACACACATACACCACCATTTTTTAATTTGTTGTAGAGATGAGGTCTTGCCAAGTTGCCCAGACTGATCTCAGGCAGTCCTCTCGCCTCTACCTTTCATGTGAATCATGGTGCCTGGCCTAAAACTTTTCAAAAGAAATTCAATAAAATCTGAGTAAATTGATGTTATTAGAAATACTGTAGTATATATTTCTTGGATCGAATACTGCAAATGATTGTATTCTCTTCAGACATTGAGAATTAGATATGAATTCTTTCTTCATGGTAGCAGTTTCTCATGTTTATTATTGCTTCTTAGTGTTACTTATTTTCTATGTAAATTGCTAAATGTGTCATATGAATGCTAAGTATTAGGCTTACAGAAAATAGTTTGACTAGCAAGAAGCAGATCAGATTACTCAAACTTTGACATTGCTCCATTAGCTTTTTTGCTTTATTTTTCAGGTAATTCTGTAGGTACTGGAAGACACACAGATGTTTGTAAATCTGTAGGTGCTAGAAAACACACAGATGATGAGTTACCATTTTCCTCTAATTCTTGGAGAAATGAAAAAGAAAGGGCAGAAAATTTGGAGAATATTGTTCCAGATCTTAGCAGAGTAAGTTTGTATATAGGTATCTGTATCACTAGGATTATATTAAATATATAATTGTATACATTTTCTTACACTTAAATATTTCATGACTTGCATTTAGATTATTCATTTGAAATGTCCAATCATTAAATAATAAAGCAAACTGATCTTTTACCTTGCTGAAGCACATTTGCTTTTCATTATTTCCTTTTTTTCTATTTGTTTTAATAGTACCCCACTTTTGTATGCTTTAAACTTGATAGTCATTTCTGACTCTTAGCTATTCCTTATCCACTTTTTTAGACATATGACTCAGGCTTGTAGAGTGGCTTTTACTATTTAGAGGGAGTATATGCGCCATGCAAAGATGGTCATTTTATGCTCACAATAATCCTTGGAGTGTATTAAAGCAAAAAGAGATGGGATTGCCATTTTAATGGAGACGAAGTTCAGAAGAAGACCTAAATCCTGTCATTATGTCCTCAGGCCCATGTCTTAGATTTCCTGTTTATTTCCTTTATCTCTGTTCAATTTTATGGTGTTCATTACCACATGTTTGATGCATTGCTTCATCTTCAGCACTTTATTGCTCTGTCATGCTTGCCACTACCAGATTAATCTTGTTACAGTGGGGTTTTTTTTAATATAATATTCTCTGTGGCCTTATGTTTCAATGTAATCGTTCTTAAGGTACTGTATAATCTGACTTCGTGTTAATCTCTCTCTTTTATTTTCTGCATGTTTTTCTCCCTTCCTTTTCCTAATCCAAATTATAACCATCTTTTCAGTCTTAGGTCAAGTTCCTGGTTACTTTTTAATAACTCTTGACTACATTAATTTATCTGAACTTCTACTACAATAATTGTATACTACAGTATGGTACTTTATTACACCATTATATGGTATAGAAATATTTTACTTATCCAGAAGTTGCCTTTTCAGCAGCTTCAAGAATTTGCAGTTCATCAGGTATACCAGTTATGTACAATTAAAGTACAAAGTTCCTTCTCTCAGGTAACCAGAATGGGTATTCTGGAGTCTAACCCTATGTTGTAGATGCTTAGTCCCATGCATAATCATTGGTGTGTAGATGTAGTCGACTGTGCAGTTACATAATTTTAATGTAGGTAGTTAATGGATTTCCAGCTCTCAGACGATTAGTGGCAGCAAATTAGAAAATAAGAAAGAGACAGCATCTGTTAGTCCTCTATTTTTGTCAAAAATGTGGTAGTTGACAAACTGAGCCATCTCATTTTGCTCTAAGGATCTTGTTCTATTATAGTACAGTAGTCATTTTACTAATTATTGATTATTTGTCATTAAAAACAGAACATTTGATTTTACTAAGGTTGAGTACTTACAAATTGCTTGGGAATCTTGGTATGGAGTACAGTGGTATGATCACGACTCACCACAGCCTCCAACTCTTGGGCCCAAGTGATCCTCCTGCCTCAGCCTCCTGGGTAGCTGGTACTACAGGCATGTTCCACCATGCTTGTCTAATTGTTTGATTTTTTTGTCGAGATGAGGTCTCACTACGTTGTCCAGGCCGGTCTTGAACTGCTGGGCTCAAGCTATCCTACTGCGTCTACCTCCTGAAGTGTGTCAGTTTTGAGCCCAGTCCCTTTTATATATGATGTTAGACAAGAGTCCAACTAGCATCATCCTTTGTATGTGGATATTCGGTTTTCTCAGTACCACTTCTTAAAAAGACTATTCTTTTCCCCTATTGAATGGTCTTGGCATTCTTGTTAGAAATCAGAGAGAGATACTTTTATCTTTCTTTCCAATTTGCATGCCTTTTGTTTCTTTTTCTTCTAATAGTTGTATAGAATTTGCAGTACAATGTTTAGTAGCAACAGCTTAAAACAGGCATCATTTTCTTGTTCCTGATCTTATGGGAACAGCTTTCAGTCTTTACCATGGAGTATGATTTTAAAAAAAAACCTTTTGTCATGTTGAGGAATCTTCCTTCTATTCCTAGTTTACAGAGAGTTTCTATTATGAAAGTGTTGAATTTTGTCAGATGTCTTTTTTGCATTGATTTAGGTGATCATGTGGTTTTATTAATGTGATATGTCACTTTGATTTTTCTTGTGACATTTTTTTTGGGCCTTGATATCAGAGTAATTGAGGCTTTATACAAAGAGTTGGGAAGAATTCCTTTCTCTTCAGTTTCTTGTAAGAGTTTGAGAAGGATTGTTGTTAGTTATTCTTTAAATGTTTAAAAGAATTAATCAGTGAAGCTGTCTGGTCTAGAACTTTTCTTTGTTGGGAGTTTTAAAATTACTGATTCAATCTCTTGTCAAAGGTCTGTTGAACTTTTTTTTTTATTATTTTAAAATTGTGGGATACAATTCAGGGTTAGGTATACAAATATTCATTGTGCAATTACCCTTGTTGATGAGGTGTGCCCTTCTCCTCTGTTGAAGTTTTTTATTTCTTTCTTTTTTAGTCAGTTGGACTAAAAGTATAAAGTATTCTCTCATTATTCTTTTATCTCTGTAGTACATGTCAATAGTAATGTTTCCATTTTAATTTCTGATTTTAATTATTTGTGTCTTATATCTGTTTTTGGTCAGTCCAACTAATTGTTTGGTTTTTTTGTCCGTTTTGCTGATGTCTTCAAAAAACCAACTGCTGTTTCACTGATTTTTTTTCTATTTAAAAAATATTCTCCATTTTATTTATCTTCACTCCAGTCTTTATTATTTCCCTTTCTGGCTAGCTCTGGGTTTAGTCTGCTCTTCTTTTATAGCTTCTTAAGGTGTAAAGTTAGGTGATTGATTTAAGATTTTTCTTTTGAATGTAGGCACTTACAACTATATAAACTTCCCTCTGAGCACTGCTTTGGTGTATCCCATAAGTTTTGGTATGCTTTGCTTTCATTTTCATTTATGTCTTAAGTATTTTCTAATTTTTTTGGTGACTTCTCTTTGAACCGTTGGTTAAGATTGTGTTCTTTAATTCGTACATATTTTCAAATTTTCCAGTTTATTGATTTCTAACTTCATTGTGGTCTAGCCTTATGTCAGGATAGACATAAGGTCTATCCTGAAGACTATTCCATATATACTTGAAAAGAATGTTTTGTTGGGTGGAGAGTTCTGTTTATGACTTGTCACATCTGATTGCTTTATTGTTTTAAGTGCCTTTTTTGTACTTATCTTCTGATTGATTGTCCTGTCTGTTATTGAATGTGGGGTATTGAGCTCTCCTACTAGTATTATAGAAATCCCTATTTTCCCCTTTAGTTCTGTTAATTTTTGTTTCACTTATTTTTTTTTTGAGTTGGAGTCTCACTGTCGCCCAGACTGGAGTGCAGTGGCCGCTCCCGGCCACTGCAGCCTCGACCTGCTGGGCTCCAGCGATCCTTCCGCCTCAGCCTTCCAAGTAGCTGGAACTACAGGCACACGCTACCACGCCCGGCTAATTTTTTTGATTTATTGTAGAGATGAGGTCTCGCCTGCCCAGGTGGGTTTCAAACCCGCCGGCTCAGGCAATCCACTCACCTCAGCCTCCCAAAGGCGCGGGATTACAGGCTGCGCCACCGAGCCCGGCTGTTTCATTTATTTTTAAGGGTCTATTTTTTGGTATATAAATGTTTATAATTGTTACATTGAATTTCTTAAAATACATGATGTCCTTTTTTTCTTGTAACCTTGTTTGATTTAGGAATCTATTTTATCTGATATTATAGCTACCACAGTTCTCTTTTGGTTACTGTTTACATGGAATATCTTCTATCCTTTTCCTTTTAACCTATTTGTGTCTTTGGATCTGAAGTAAGCCTCTTGTAGCCGGCATGTGGTTAAGCTATGTTTTTTCTACACTTAGCCAATCTTTATCTTTCTATTAGAGAGTTTACTACATTTACTTTTAAAATAGATACTGATAAGAGGGGAATTGCTTTTGCCATTTTGCTATTTGTATTCTATATATATCTATTCTGTAGCTATTTTCCTTGTGATTACCATGGAATTGTGGTTAACATCCTACAGTTACAGCTTTCTAATTTAAACTTATTAACTTCAATCACATATAAAATCTCTGCTCCTGTATAGTGCTGTCCTCCCCCTCTGTTGTTGATGTCATGGATTACATCTTTATATATTGTGTGCCCAGTTGCTTGGATTAGCAATTTTTTATGTATTTGTCTTTTCAGTCATATAGAAACTAAAATTAGAGTTCTAAATCAAAGTTACAGTAATGTTAGCTTTTATAATTGCTTATATATTTACCTTTACCTGAGATCTTTATTTCTTCATATGACTTTGAGTTAACTTTCTGGCCTTTCATTTCAACCAGAACAACTCCCTTGAGCATTTCTTTTAAGACAGTTTTAGTGGTAACAAACTCCCTTAGTTTTTACTTACCTGGGAATACCTTAAATTTTCCCTCACTTTTGAAGGACAGTTTTGTCAGTGTCTTAGTTCATGTTGTGCTGCTATAACAATGTCTTCGATTGGGTAATTTAAAATGAACAGAAATTTATTGCCTCATGATCCTGGAGAGTATGGAGTCCAGCATTTGGTGAGGACCTTCATATAGCATCATCCCATGGTGGAAGGAAGAAGGGCAAGAGAAGGTGAGAGAGAGAGAGAAACACAGACACAACAAGAGGGGGAATGGAGTGTAAACTTGTCTATTTATAAGGAACCCACTCCCACAATGATGCCCATCTATTTTTGAAGGTGAAGTCCTCATGACTTAAATACATCTTACAGTTTCCACCTCCCAACTGCACATCGGGGATTAATTTTCTAACATTTAACTTTATGGGGTGTGTTCAAACCACAACAGCCAGATTTAAGATTCTTAGTTGAGAGGTTCCGCCCCCCCAACACTTTGATATAAGATTGTTTAAAGATTTATAATAAGTTTCATAGTTGACAGGTTTTTTTCCCTCCCCAACACTGCTTTCTGGCCTCCAAAATTTCTGATGAGAAATCTGATTATGTTCTTGAGGGTCCCTTGTATGTAACAAGTAGCTTCTGTTTTGCTTCTTTCAAGATTCTGTTTGT